ATAGTATTCAAACAGCATAATTATACTACATCATATGATGTTTAACCTTCTCCCTTTTATTCTGCAATTTCAATTATCAAAATACTTGGTTAAAAGAACCCATTAAATTTTAAAACCAAAGTTTAACAAAAAAAAAAAAAAAGACTTATATTCGAGTAAATATGGTAGTTTACTTTGTACTGTGTATAAAATTTGTTCAAAGAGTGCATTGTGCAAATTAATAATGATAATATATATGTGAAGCAAAAAGGTGTTAGTCTGTTTTAAACATATATGGCCAGGTTTGAGAAAATATGTCATATAAAAGTTCTTTACCATGTTTCTAGAGGATATTAAATATAACTTTTAATTTATTATATATTTTTAAGCAAGTATTTTTCATGATAAAAAATGTTTTGGTGGAAAAAAAATTGCAATTTTTATCCAAATAACCATTTGCATAGTTTTTATAATCATAAATAATTTTGTTACATGTAATTATTGAGTTGGATTTATTTTCACCCAATGATACTTGATCTATAGCAATGTATAAAGAAAAAGTAAAATAAGTTGATTTTATGTGACAAAAATTTAAAGCTAAAATTTATTTTATTTTAAATTATTACAACTCTGTTCTAAGAATATTACATGATTGTATGAAATATTTTAGAATGATCTTTTAATTTTTTTTAGGACATTTTAATACTAAACCAATTTTAGGTTTAGTATTAAAATACTAAACCAATTAAATATATTAGTATTAAAATACTAATTTAGTAATAAAATACTAAACCAATTTTAGGTTTAGTATTCATCATCTGCAGGGTATAATTTTAGGAGTTTGGGGAATATAACTACAGCTGCTGATATTGTACTTTATGGGAGTTCATTCAACCAAATATTTTTCCTCGATTATTTTTTTAATTTGTCAGTGCAATAATTGTCATTGGTCTTATATTACATCTCATAAAGCTGATAAAAAAGGTCTTGAAGATGTCAGATTTTAAATGGATTTTTATGAAGCCTAACCAGCTATCTGTTCCCATACCTGTATGCCAGTTTAAAATGGAATTTGCTTATATCTAACAAGAGATGTCTTTTTCATGTAATGATGATGTCCATAGTATATTGAGTTTTGGCAATATAACTACAGCTGCTAATATTGTACTTTATGGGAGATCATTCAAACAAATATTTTTCCTCCAATTATTTTTTTAATTTGTTAGTGCAATAATTGTCATTGGTCTTATATTACATCTCATAAAGCTGATAAAAAAGATCATGAAACTACACTTGCTCTTCTCTTGTTAGAATGTGTCATCTAGAAACTTTGTGAAATTTCTGGTGACTCCTTCTATTACCAATAACAGCTCAGTAGTTGTCCATGCAATTCCTTTCATAAGTATTACTTCTGTAGGATCATTCCTGGTATACCATCATCTTCAGGGTATAAATGTAACTGAAGAACTTATTATAATATACAGTCCATTTCCAATTAACCTGGGCAATGCCCATAGTTAATTCAGAATCACTGTTAATCATATGGTAGTTGAAAAAAATACAGCAAAGATAAATAATCCTTGTTATTACTAACAGAAAAGTCCTGACGTGTATTTTCAAGCAGTTTAATCTGGAGAATAAGTTCATTTGTTTGCATAAATTAAATTAATATTAAAGTTCCCTCTCACTGTTTCTTTTAGTCCCTACTTCTATTTCTTCCTCACTCCACAGTGCATATGCTGCTTGTTTTTCTTTACATTATTCTTGTACTGGTGAAACAAAAGTATTAATATCTATACATTTGATCTGTTATTAAGATTGAGAAATTTACTTTCAGTGCAAAACAATACTTATATATTCTAGATTATATACAATTAAATTATACATTATTATGGATAAAAACAACTCTCAAATATTATATCATTTATTATTATTGTTATCCCATACTTTTTTTCTTCTGTATTTTCCATGGGCAGTTTTCTCTTGCTGATGGTTTGTGATAGCAATCTTTTCATCATTCCATGACAAAAAACAAACTTAATTTTTTTGTTCCAACTTGTTCCATCTACCCCTGTATAACTCTGCATTACTGAGAGGGCTTCTGACCTAAGGTGATGTCTAACAGAAAAAGCCTACACAATGGAAATTATTTATTGAGAAATTTTTACAGAGTGTTTTTGCAATGAATATTGTACAATCATGTTTATATGATTGTGAATGTTATTTACAGTCTTCTTTGTCTTTACATGCTATATTGAGCTTAATTTTGATATATACAATAGATAAACATAGTATGAAGTTTCATAGTTCGAGAGTTCAGTAAAATTTCAGTAATTCAAAATCCAAAGTTCAAGATTCAGTGAAAGTTCTATAAAGTTGAGTAGATCAAAAGCTCCTTAGTTCTAAATGTCTAAGTTCTTTCAATTCAAGATTCGGTAATTCCGTAAGTCAGAGTTCAGTGTTTAGATGGTCGTAATTACAGAAAGTCTCACTTGATTGACATAGTACAAGTCAGTTTTAGTTTCAATTTAGGTCTTGGTCTCAATATTATAATCTTTTTTATAAATGATTCTGAAATTTAGTTAATTTTGATATATGCAAAATAAATAATAATGTTCAAAAAGAAATTAATTGATGAAAATAACTGTATAATCCCTGTATAACTGGGAGTTGACTGAAAAATTGTTTGAATTCCATAATCTTATGCACGTCTGCACTAATTGCATTGAAATAAATAGCAAATTCATTCTACACTTGGAAAGAAGTGGGTGGAAACTAGAATTTCACCATTGGCATCCAATGGCAGGTAGTCCTGCCACTGGAGTTAGTGTGGCAGGTCCTGCTACACTAACTGCACAGTTCTGTCCCAACGTTAGGAAAGAAACTGGGGATGGTACAAAGGTCTGCCATCCCTTTTCGCCTACCACTAAGCTCTCAAGAGGACTTTTGGCTCGCCATATATTTTCAGTGCTAACAGCGGAGGTACCAAAAATACCTCCTCACCACACAGGCATTATACATTTACAAATATCCATGCCTTATCTAGGATTTGAATCCGAGCTCATCAATGCTGCAGTCAGCATAATTAACCACTGTATTGTTTAGGCAGCAACAAGAATAGTACATTTTTTCTTTCTGATATGTGAAGGTTCTTTCTTTAAGATAACCATATCAATTGGAGAGTGGGAACTGGGTCACTGATTATTGGCTGCTACACTATACTCTTATAAACTCCATGCCTTCTCTGGCATTTGAACCATGGCCCATCTGTATGGCAATCAGTATCACTAACCATTATACCAGCTGGGTGGCTATATAGAAAGAGCATTAGTTTAATTCTTGCTTTGAACACAGTGATATATTTTTGCATAAAAAACATCAGAAAATTGCACATGGCCTTAGCATTGTGCACATTGAACCTGATATATATATATATGTATTATATGAATGTGGTTTTTCATTTTTAAAGGTTATATAGTGTTTTTTAGGTTTTGGGCAAATTTAGTGCCACAAAATTTTGCCAAAGTGCTTGTGGTAGCTGCTTTAACACCGAAGTATCCAGAATTTGTTTAAATATAGGTGTGGGAATACACTTATATTTTTAGTTTTAAATGTATATAGTTCAAGAAAAATTATTGTGCTGCCTAAATTAATCATTAAATAAAATTTTGTCTGAATATAATACTTTCTTCTTTAAAATTATTCAGCCTTAGTTTAACATTGGTTTTAGCAAAAAATTGTATAAACTCTGAGTGAAAATGTTACTGATTCACCTTCTTCAAAGAGCAAGTGTACTTTAAAAGAATATTGCATGGAATCATTGAAACATATAGATGCATATAAATTTATAAATCTGCATTAACGATTTTAAGACTTTATTCTAGTTGTCAATCCTGATGTTTAGTTGTTTTAACAATTAAATTTCTGTAGTATATAGTTCATTTCTGATTTTTAATTGCTAAATTCTCCGAGAAAAATGTATTTCAGGGTACTCGTTGGCAAAAATTGGTGATTTTTTGGGGGGGCACCATTCCTGTTTACATGCAACGCCAAGTAAAATAGCATCCAAAACATAAAAAATTATAATTTCAGTAATCTGAATTTTAATGCAAAATAAAACAAGGAAGTAACATAAAAAATGGAAATACATGTTATCTAATCTGCGTAGTACAAAAAGGACATATCGACGTAGCTTATTTAAAAATTTCCATGTCTTTGGTATGTAGCACACAGAATTCCTTAACAGCTTCCAAAAAACTATTTAAAATTATCTGACCTAGAATCTGTACACTGCCGTCAGCACTTAAATTCACAAATATAAAAATCAAAAATATCCTCCATACTGCCCAGTGGCATTTCTTTTGGAAATCTGTTTTTATTATTACACTTCACATACCTTCCATAGAGTTGATATGAGCTCCAGTTTCCAAATCCTTAAATGTCTCTGCGTAATTTACTGAGAAGTGAACAAAGCCCATTTACACACTGGTCAATCAATGTTTTCTTTCCTGTTCATTTCAAATCATGAAAAACTTCAGGTTAATCTTACCACTGGCAGCCATTTTATGATGTAAAGCACAAAATAAACAACGTACTTTCTAACTGACAGCCAATGCAAAAATAAGCCCATAGAAATATTTTTCCAGCTATCAAAATCGTAGCAATCATGCATTACAACCAATCACATGATAATAGTTTCCAAAACATTCAACATAAAATACTCAGGTTATTGTACATAAAACAACAAGTTAACGATAAATGAAACAACAACTTGGTGATAATCCAAGGCGTACCCTAAAATATAGACTACCCAGTTCCCCCACTATATGATAAGATTGTTAATTACATGTACTGAAAGCAAGTAGCTGATTGACAACCAGAATTCATGTTATATTTATCTTGTAATAATTTTTTAAACAAACACTGAAGATAATTTTAACTCATATTCATTTGCATTTCAAAAGTGTAACTTTCATTTATTTGTAGTTTAATAAACCTTATATATACTTTGTATTTTTCAGGTCTCATACCAAAAAAACCTGGGACACCACTTTTTGGAGACTGGGAAAAATACAATACATATTTTAAAAAATTCTAATTTGTTTCCTATCAGTAATAATAAAAATGTGTATTTAGATGATTAAAATAAAATATTTCACCCTACATCTCTAATTGTTTCTAATAATAGACAAAGTATCTTTTAGTGATCTGAAATTGGCAGAGTGTTTGAGGAATCTGAACTACATTAATTCATTTTTATTGCAGCTGCTAAATTTTATACGTTTTCAGAGGAACAGCCATAAATGTTTAAATTGTAAGCAAAAATTAATTGTATGAGACAAGTTTTCTTAAGATTAATGGTAACAAAAACCAAAAAATATTATAGGCTGTATATGTGTATAATCATTCTGAACAGCTGTTTTAAAAATAGATGCATTTCTCAAAATCAGACTTGAATGAATGAAGTTTTATTGTATTATAGTAGTAAAATAGCTAGCTTAAAGATGGTGACACAAGTAAGTTAGGTTAAAATTATTTGATGTAAAATGTCATATCGTAAGGTTGGACATCTGCAAACAACATAACCTTGAAATATTAGCGATTTTGTATCAGCATCATATATTTTTTCCGTGCAAAAATGTCAAGCTTTAAGCTGAATAAGTGTCATTTGTGGAAATTATTGATTTACTTTTTGAAATTAAAGAAATCTGCAGCTGGAGTGCATCAATTGCTTGTAGAAGTGAGTGAGGCTGCCTTAAGTGAGATAAGTTGTTATGAGTAGTTTTAAAAGTTTAAAAATATGAATTTGAGACAAAGAACATAATGGAAGGCCGAAAGTGTACAAAGATGTGGAATTGGAAGTATTATTGGATGAAGATTCATGCCAAACACAAGCAAAGCTTGTACTTACATTAGGAGTGATTCAAAAGCAAGAAAATTCATTTCCTTATGAACTAAAGCCGAGAAATGTTGAACCCCAATTTTTAACATGTGAAATGTTGCTTCCCAGGCATAAATGAAAGGTTTTTTTCCCTGCATCATATAGTTACTGGTTATGAAAAATGGATCATTATGGTAACCCAGAGAAGAGGAAATCGTGGAAACCACTTAGCAATGCTTCAAATTTTGCAACCAAGCCATTCATGGAAATAAAATCATGTTGTATATAGGGTGGAATCTGCTTGGTGTTATGTATTGAGTTGCTCAACTGAAAGAAAACAATGACTGGTGCTCTCTACCAAACACAGCTGATGAGATTGAGCCGAACACTCAAGAAGAAGCATACCCACTACCATGGCAAATACGAGAAAATTATTCTCCTGCATGATAATGCTCACCCACATGTTGTGGCACTGGTTAAAACATACGTGAAAACACTGAAATAGGAAGTTTTACCCACCTGCCGTATTCACCTGACATTGCTCCTTTTGATTACTACTTGTTTTGATTGTGACGTATAGCCTGTATCAGCAGCGCTTTGCATCATATGGAGATACCAAAAAACAGGCCGATTCGTAGATAGTCGCAAAAGATGAAACATTCTTCCAACACAGTATCCATATGCTGCCAGAAAGATAAGAAAACATAGTGGCTAGTGATGGACAATACTTCGAATAAACATAATGTATCGTTCTAGCATAATAAATGCCCAAATTTTATTTAAAAAAAAAAGGCAGGGACTTTTTTATACTCCCAATATAAACAATAGTGTTATTATAACATAATGCAGAATACATTTTTCTTTGATTAATTAGTCTTTCTGTATCTTGATTTTCTGAGACCTATAAAGCAAATATAGAATTGAAATAAATTATAACTTAATATATATGCTACCTTTAACATACAGAGTGCATTATTTAAATAATTAAGAGTTTCATATCTGACCTTTCACCTAGATAATAAAAGTGTTGTTTTAAATGTTGAAGAGCTTCAATATAAAAATGGGAATGAAGAAAATAAATGTGTAAAATTATGATACATACTAATGTTATTTATCTATGTAGCTTCCTTATTAAAATTGATGTTAACCGCTTCCCTTACAAATTTTTTTGAAAAAAATTGCAAATCATCATCACATTTTTTATTTTATTATTAAATACAACAAAATAAAACAAATCAAAATATGTGGGTTTTAAGTTGAATTTTTAATTTTTTGAAGGTGTAAAAGCATTTATTTTTAATATTAGTTTACTATCCTGAGTTATCTCGGGCAAACGAAAAAAAGTTAAATATTAATCTTTGTATGATAGTTTTTTGAAACAAGGGACAACACAGAGTGATACCTGACATTCTGCACTGGTATCTGTCTCTTTTCTTACTGGCTTACTGCTTACCGCTGGAATCTCTTTCACAGGGAACGCAGAGTACACTGACTCCGTTGGATTTGATTTCCCCCCCAACCCAACCTTTTCATAAATCACTATCTGAAAAATCATCGCTTTCGCTATCTTCCATCATCGCCATTATTTTATTTTTTTCCAACGCATGCATCCTGTCTTTATACATTACTAATCCACAAGCCAACCTATATTATACAATAGGGAAACACGCGACCAGTCCCTCCAAAAGAACCGCGCAACCAACAAAATTTGGCAAACTGCCAATCAAAGCTGAATATTTCCTTTCATTTCCTCCAGACCGAGTAAAACCGTGATAAAAGAAATCATACTAACAAATTCTGCTTCGCCCGAGTTTTCTCGGGATAATAATTAACTGCAATATATACAAACCCGAGATAACTCGGGATAATCAGGGAAGCGGTTAACTATTGTTCTAGAAACTTGCTCTTGGGCCATTTAAGACATTTTGTTACATCTAAGGGAGATTATAGGCTTTAATCTCTGACTTTCTGATCATGGATATCTCTTTGCCCTTGATATTTCTTATACTGTTAGTTAACCATTTTGGCCATATGTGGCCTTCCATTTGAAGAAATCCAATAATGTAATTAGCATCATGTAAGGTGGAAGCATCAGTTTCACTAGGTCACTTTACACAAACACAGTATAAGAAGAATGGGTACAAATATAGGTATAAGTAATTGGCCATCAAAATTTCACCATAAGTGTACAGGTATAGTCCTGCTGCAATAACTCTGCAGCTTCATCCCACATTTTGAGAGAGAATACCCTAGACAGTGTGAGGGTCTTCCACCCCTCTTTCCCTATCACTTGAGATAACTTTTGACTCACCATACATTTTGAGTACCTCCTCGCCACACAGGCACTATACGTTTACAAATATACATGCCTTATCCAGGATTTGAACCCGGGCTCATCAATGCTGCAGTCAGAATCATTAACCACTGTATTGTATAGGCAGCAACAAGAATGGTAATATGATGAACCACCAAGTCTGATGGTAGAATATAACATACATATTTCTTTTTTCTTTCTGATATATCAAGGTTCTTTCTTTAAGATAACCATATCAATTGGAGAGTGGGAACTGGGTCACTGATTATTTTTTAGGGCAGTGATATTATGAGTCCAGGGATATAAATGAATACATCTTCATCTATCATTCTGATTGCATGAAAAGGCAAGGAAAATATATATTTCTTACATTTTGTTTTTTTAATTTATGGAGCATTTTCCCCCTTAGTAATGAATGAATTTCATAAAATTCACACAATTTCCTGTTTTCTGAGCAGCTTCTGTTATAAAGCAACGCAAAGATACTGGCATTATTTAAATTCATATTGGTACAAATAATAGCTCTAAGAATGAGACTAATGTCAGTCAACTGGTTCAGAAGATATGGGAATATTTTGCCTTTATTATTTAATAATAGACATTATCTATTTCTAGGCCCATTTAAGTAATTCTAAAAAATTATAATATTCAGAATTTAATTATATGTATGTTATTTAATTGTCTTCATAAACTTGAGTTGATATTTTGAACAGTTTAGTGCTTTATGCTTAATTATTATATTATGTAAATTATTTATTGTATAATTTATTGTTTTATTGCAATTTCTATTTACATTTTTTTAAATTTATAAATACTATTGAAGATATTTAAAGTATAAGTATTTTGATTAAATCTTTGAATTTTAAAATTAACTGCATCACAAACTTTCTTGTGTGTAAAATTTTATAGGAATTTTCCAAGTTATATAATGGAAAAGAAATATGCACATTATAAATGATACTTTATTTCAAATGACATACTCCTTATCATACACAAAAGATCATGATAATGAATTCTTTTAACACAAAATCTACAAATAAATAGGTATAATCTGCATTCTACAACTAAATACATCAATCATACAGTAATAAAACATATCCTATCACCATTATTTTATACAGTTTCTGAAGAGAGTGTATTCAAAAACAGGGAAAGAAAAAAGGATATGAATGCTGCATTTCTACACAAAGTAAATTTTCAGAAGTGTTACTCTCTCCATTTTTTTTTTTTTTTTTTTTTTATTGTCGTAGACCCTCTCACTACACAGAAACTTGGAAGATTTCAAAACAATGTAAAAAATATGTATGTTAGAATATGAATGCAGTATTTTTTTAATGTGTATAATTTTCCGAATTTTCAATTTTTAACAATGTTGATGACAACATAAATAACACATATGAAGATGAGTATTCAAAGTGCATGTTGTATTTATGTGAGATGAGAGTTATCTTCATGACAGCGGCATAGTGAAAACATCCAGTTCATGTTTCAGATCTTCACAATGTTTTTGCCCTTTGAAGTAATTCACTGATGAATTTCTGCAAAAGAAGTAAACAGTTATTTTCAGGCATATACATATTTTGAGTCAAGTACTACTAAAATTAGCTGTTTTCGTGTAAACCACATATCTCTTAAATGCTTAGTATATGAAAATTACATTAAGGCTATTGATCACATTACTTTGAACTTTTGTGTTAAAATAAAACATATTCACTTAGTTTATGCAAAAACATTTTTTTTTATCCGGCGCTGAATTTGCTGTCCTTATTCAGCCAGTGCAAGCGATCAAGCGGTACAATGTTGCAGGGTGATCAGCGACTTCATGCACTGAGTAGAGCTTATTTGTTGGTGAGCTTTGTTGGCTACCGACATACAAGCCCTGCCTGTGCGTGACAAAGCTCGTGGTCGCGAATGTTAATACTGTCAGTCCCGCGGACCAATGCCAGTCCAAGGCTGGCCACACAGATTTTGTGTAGGACTAAAGAATGTCCAGTATTTTTAAATGAGACAGATTCCTAGAGTATAGTGTGTACATGCATAAATTTTTGATATTTTCACAATTAATTTTTTTAAAGCTGACGTATTAAAAAAATGCTGAAATCATACAAAAAGTGTATAAATTTCAAGCTACATCAAGATTTTGTCAGTTACAGTAAGTAAATATCAGTGGCATGCTGCAGTTTTTTCTAAAGAGGATTATGTATGAAGAAAAATTATAAATCTATCCAAAATGATTGTGCATGGATGGTGGTGGTCATCTTAGGTGAAATTCAATATTGTTGCATAATCGAGAAAATATTGTTAAGAATTTTATTATTATTGTCTATTTTTCAAAAGTGTGTTTTTGTTTTATTATTGTGTGAAGTTGTAACTATATGTCTTTTCTTGTGTGGCAACAACGCTTCTGTAATTCTTCAATTTGAACTTTTGGATGTGTGCCAAGTTTGATGGCGTAATGCTCTGGTGAGAGCGTCGATTGATTGTGTAGATGAAACATGTTGTTTCAGAACGTTATTTCTTTAAAATATGTAAAATAAATGTTTTGTTTTCTGAACTCGGATTATGCAAACGTTATTTAGTTTCAACATAAAAGTTTGGCGTCCGTTTGACAGGACGTTTGTGTGATTTCGAGTAGTTTTGATTTAGGCGTTTTGTTAAAATGGAGTTGTTAAAAAGGCAAAACGTAAAAGTGAACGTACTTCGTTTACGTTAACTACGAAGATTGTGGAAGAAGAATTGCCTACTTGTACGGATCCTGAGAGATTGCAAGTGTTGTTGGGGCAACTAATTGACAAATTTGAACGCTTGGACAGTACTCAAAGCAGTGTTTTAGAACAAACCAAGGAAGCTGATTTCGAGAATGAATTTAATACGGCTGAAGGATACAGAGATTCCTTTATAGCTTTAAAGGTGAAACTTCAGAATAAAATTGGACAATTGAATTCGATGAATGTTACTACAGATATTGCTTCAGTTTCGATTTCGGATCCTAAAGAAAATAAAAAACAGGAAGTTCAAACTTCCTAAACTTGAACTGAAAAAATTTTCTGGAGATGCAAGAGAATTTTTAGGCTTTTGGAGCCAATTCTCCAAAATTCATGAAGATGCGGATATTGTGCCGGAAGATAAATTTTTGTACTTAGTGCAAAGTGCAGTACCTGGCTCAAAGGCAGCTCAACTTTTGAACAGTTTTCCTGTTACCGCCGCCGCGAATTATCCTAAAGCTATCGAGCAGCTGAAAGAAAGATTTGGTAGAGAAGACCTTCTGGTGCAGATCTATGTAAGAGATTTGCTTGGGCTTGTTACAAAGAATGCTACAACAGGCAGAACGGCGTCGGACTTAGGAGTACTTTATGATAGTATAGAAAGTAAATTACGAGCGCTGGAAAGCTTAGGACGCACCAAGGAAAAGTTTGCTGATTTCTTGGGACCTTTAGTGGAGTCGTGCCTACCTGAGAATATTCTACGTGCCTGGGAGCGGAGTCGAACTTCTGAACAGGGACAGGAAAAGAGTTCTGAAAGAACGCTTGAAAAACTAATGTGTTTTTTAAGGCATGAAGTAGAATCGGAAGAAATGATTAGATTAGCACAATCAGGATTTACTCATTCTGTTAAGCGTCTTAATAAAAATGTTATTTCAGGTAATTCAGATTTAGCAACAGCTGCCGCGCTGGTAAGTACAAATGAAACCAGTAAAGGTAAGCAAAATGTTTGTATATTTTGTGGTAAGCCTCATATGAGTGCTAAGTGTTTTAAAGCTGAAAATATGAGCTTAAATGAAAAGAGGCAACTTGTACAAAAGAAAGGTGTTTGTTTTTCATGTTTAAGAATTGGCCATTTAAAAAACCAATGTAAAGCCAATATTAAATGCCCCATTTGCAGTTGTGATCATATAAAATTTATGTGTCCTCAGAATGTTAGTTCTGTAAAACAAAATGACTCTAAGTTGGATGTTTCCCTTTCTAATAATAGTAAGAGCGAGAAAGTTTATTTGCAAACTTTATGTGTTCTAATTAAAGTTAAAGATCGAGAGAGAAAAATTAGGATTCTCTTGGATTCGGGATCCCAACGATCATACGTTGGGGAGAAAATTATGAAGCGAATGAAGGCTGATCCTATTCGACAGGAGAAAGTAATTCATGGTTTGTTTGGGGGGAGGGAAACTGCGCCTGTAACCCATTCTGTTTTTGCTATTGACATAAGCAGTTTAGATAACACTTTTAGGTGTTGTTTTGAAGCTTTTTCTGAAAAAAAGATATGTGGATTTGTTCCAACAATCAAGAATGCTCAGATTATAGAGGAATTGAAAAGCAGGAAAATTGAGGTCAGTGACACATTTTGCGAGGAAAGTGAAATTGATTTATTGATAGGTGCAGATGTCATTGGTAAACTGTTAACTGACGAATACCTAGAATTACCCTCTGGTTTAACTGCAGTCAAAACAAAACTGGGTTGGACGGTTATGGGTAAAGAAAAGATACTACTGTCAGGGATAATGCCCTAATAAGTCTTTCCTTACATGTAAATAATGCTTCTTTGAAATCTTTATGGGAGCTTGAAGTTTTGGGTATTTCCGACCCGACGGAAAATAGTAAAACGAAAAATCTTCATTGCGACTATGAGATTGATTTTCAGAATAAATTATCTATTCGGCTCGATGGTAGATATGAATTGGAATTACCCTGGAAATGCGAGTCTACCAATTTATCAGATAATAAAAGCATTACTTTGACACGTCATCAAAAAATGATAAAGAGGGCAAAAAAAAAATAATTCTTTGAAGGAATATCAAGAAGTGTTTAGAGAGTGGGAAAATTTAAATATTATAGAAAAGGTTCCGGAAAAGGAATTAAACAATAAATGCCACTTTTTACCACACAGACCGGTTATTAAGATGAATAGTGAAAGCACTAAGGTAAGACCCGTTTTGATGCTTCATCTTGTGAAAAGGGAAAACCATCTTTGAATCAGTGTTTATTGAAAGGACCTAATTTAATAGAATTAGTCCCTGATATTTTAGACAGAATGAGATTTTTTCCTATTGGTCTGAGTGCAGACATAGAGAAAGCATTCTTGCAGTTAGGAATTTCTCCGAAGGATAGAGATTACTTGCGATTTTTCTATCCAAGTGATGAGGGAGAAATAGTGTATAGGCACTGCAGAGTAGTTTTTGGGGTTTCCTGCAGCCCTTATCTACTAGGTGCGTCTATTAAATATCTCTTGAATAATTGTCCATCTGACTTTTTAGATGTGGCTGACAAATTAAAAAATTCGTTCTATGTAGATAATTGTATTACGGGTGTTTACAATATTGAGGAACAAGAGGATTTAATTCAAAAGGCCAAAAGTCTTATGTCGAGAGGCAGATTTAATTTAAGGGGATGGGAGAGCAATGTTGCTTCCAAATATACTACAAAACATTCTGGGGACACACCACCTCTTTTAGGAATATTGTGGAATTTAGACAATGATACTTTAAGGTGTAATATAAATGTAAATATGATAACTTGTGATACTAAGGTAACTAAGAGACTGATTCTGTCTATTGTACAATCAATTTTTGATCCAATTGGAATACTTGCACCAATAACTTTGCTTCCAAAACTTTTGTTACAAGAAACATGGAAGTTGAAATTTTCTTGGGACGAGGTATTGCCTCATGATTTTGTAAGTAAATTTTTTGTGTGGTTATCTGATATACTTTTGTTGAAAAATGTGGCAATACCCCGATTCATTGGAACCTTTGCAACAGTTGAATTGCATGTATTTGTCGATGCCTGCAAATATGCTTATGCAGGATGTATTTTCGCGAGAAGTGTTGATTCATGCAGTGTAAAAATTACTCTCTTAAGAGCAAAATCTAGAGTAGCTCCTATTAAGAATTTGACGATTCCTAGATTGGAATTAATGTCCTGTTGCATTGGATCCCGATTATTATATTCTGTTTGTAAAGCTCTTAATGATTTTGATATAAATGTAACTTTGTGGTGTGATTCCACAGTCGCATTATGGTGGATCAGAAATCCTGGTAATTGGTCGAAACTTTGTAAGCAATCGTGTTAAAGAAATTACTAAGTTGACAAAACCTGAATCATGGAGGCATGTGCCTGGTAATATGAACCCAGCAGATGTGTTATCTCGAGGTTGCTCTGCTAAACAAATGATTAACTCGGAGTGGTTTAAGGGACCTCTCTGGCTAAGAGAAAGCCCTGAATTTTGGCCTACCAATATTGTTTGTCAGCCGAGCGAAGCTGACTTGGAAAAGAGGAAGGTAAAACTTATTAATGTTAACTTTTCAGAGGATACCACTCCTTGGTATGCAGAAAGAGTTTCTGATTATGAAAAAATGATTCGTGTAACCGGTTGGGTGTTACGTTTTATTTCTAACTGTAGGAAGAAGTCAAATTTGTGTAAAGAATCTAAACTAACTGTTGCTGAAATCATAAATTCCGAAAAAGTTTTGATTCGGTTGGTTCAAAGCTCAAATTTCCCTGACATTGGAGCTCTTAATCCACTTGATGTATTCATTGATAATGAAAAAATTATAAGAGTTAAAACTAGAATATTGGAACGCAAAGACAATTCTGAATTTTTAACACCAATTTTGTTACCGAGTAAATGTATCTTTACTACATTGTTAATTGAGTCAGTTCATAAGAAACATTGTCATGCTGGAACTCAAATGCTTCAATCTATTTTAAGAGAAAGATTCTGGATACTAAAACAACGTAAAACTGTGCGTAATGTGTTAAAAGGGTGTGTAATATGTCAACGATATAAAGCGAAACCGATGTCTTGCGAAGTGACTCCTCTTCCTGAAGATCGCGTAGGAGATTATAGGGCTTTTGAAATTTTGGGAGTAGATTTAGCTGGCCCATTGTTTTTGAAAGACGGTAAGAAGGTTTGGATGGCACTCTTCACATGCGCTGTGTACAGGGCAATCCATCTAGAACTGGTGACTTCGTTATCAACAGAATCTTTTCTTTTGGCTTTAAGACGATTCATAGCCAGACGTGGCAGACCACGAACCATTTATTCTGACAATGGGACTAACTTCCGAGGAACGTATAACGAAATGTCTAAACTTAACTGGGACATAATAGAGAATGAGGCAAAAATAAAGAGAATAGTATGGAAATTCAATCCACCAACAGCCTCCTGGTGGGGAGGTTGGTGGGAACGGCTAGTTCGCATGGTTAAAGAACTTTTAAGACGTTCTTTGGGAAAATCGGTTTTATCTTATGAAGAACTGGAAACCTTAATTTGCGATTGTGAGTCGGTAATTAATTCTCGACCTTTAACATATATTTCGGAGAACTCTGAAGATGCTATCCCTTTAACTCCGTCAATGTTTTTAATTGAAAATTGTACTTCGAATGTAGCAGATATAGATAAAATTGACTCTCAGCATTTTTTGAGAAGAATTAAATACCGCACAAAACTTCTTAAAGATTTAAGGAACCGTTTCCGAAAAGAATATTTGGGGCAATTAATAATGAAACAACCACAAAATAAAGTAACCCGGTTGCCTAAAATTGGGGAGATAGTCTTAATAGGCGATGATTTCAAAAAACGCTTGTATTGGCCTTTGGGTAAAATTATAGAGAAAATTCCTGGTCGGGATGGCAAAGTTCGAACAGTTAAACTAAAAACTCAGAATGGGATTTTCATAAGGCCCGTTCAGCGTATTTATCCACTAGAGATACAACTAGATGAAAATTATTTAGTTGAAGAGCCTAACGTTAACGACGATAAGAAAAACGATCAGACTGACGTACAGCATATAAAACAGAAATTTACGTCGTCAGGACGGCTTGTTAAGAAGCCTAATGTACTAGACCTTTTTAATAGGATAACATATGTTTTTGAGTCGTTTGCCACTGACTCAAAAAGGGGGGAGGATGTTGCATAATCGAGAAAATATTGTTAAGAATTTTATTATTACTATTTTTATTATTATTGTCTATTTTTCAAAAGTGTGTTTTTGTTTTATTATTGTGTGAAGTTGTAACTATATGTCTTTTCTTGTGTGGCAACAACGCTTCTGTAATTCTTCAATTTGAACTTTTGGATGTGTGCCAAGTTTGATGGCGTAATGCTCTGGTGAGAGCGTCGATTGATTGTGTAGATGAAACATGTTGTTTCAGAACGTTATTTCTTTAAAATATGTAAAATAAATGTTTTGTTTTCTGAACTCGGATTATGCAAACGTTATTTAGTTTCAACAATTATTGTTTATTTATGTTCTTGGAAATACTGGTCACTTTCCGAAGTGTAGTATCTTAAGTGGTTGTCATAGAAGGTTTACTGTACTTTGAATACAAAGACTAATTACATAATTTGAAGGCTAATGAACACAATGTTTAATATACTCAGATATATTTATGAAATGAAAATCAGACAAAAAAGGAAAGTCAAAGCAATCATACCATCATAAACATTTTTTTTAATCTGATGGTTGTCATAATAAATAATTAGTTCAAAAAGAGCACAAGACCAGTAAAATAGATTATTTCTTAACTGTATTATTAACCATTTTGAAATTATATAATATTCCACTTTGATAATGTTTTATGCTTGTATATCCAGAGTAAATCTACCTTTTATCTTTTTTTTTTAAATATATGTGTGTGTATTTTAAAAATATATTATCCCAAAGAATATCATAGAAAAGTGATTGAGACCATAGGGTTGCAACAGCGGCAGCTGATGTGCATGTTGTAATAAAAACAGCTTCAGAGGTTGCTACAAAATTATGTCTTGATTCAAGACTACCTTTTCTAGCACTTCCCTCTCCATAGTTTAAACTTGAAATTACTGCATTCAATATATTTTTGCTTTGAATTCTCTCATGTACGATAATAATGCTTTCGTGAAAGCAAACTAAAATGTAGCACTAAATTTTTAATTAATTTTGCTTGTGAGAATCGCAAGGAATAAGTTTCTTATGAGCTAGTGCCAGTAATTAATAGTATGTCTATGGGAGCAAATGAAAGTTAGGTAGTCCTTCTTGGCACTGAGCCAATGCTATTCCTGCCTTTCACATGAATATTAGATAAAAATATTTTTGAAAGTATTGATGCATAAATTGCTAGAGGATTATGTGACAGTGCTAGAGGATGCAATGTTAATTGTAAAATATTAGGGGATTAGCATAGTCTCTGTTGATGGCATGCTACTGTAAATATATAGCTTTAATCAAAACATCTGGTTTACAGTCGGATTAGATGAATAAATGAATATTAATCTGGCACATATAGTATCTGATTTAAAAGTCTAGCAATTTTGGGAATATCTAAAAATGAAAATAAATCAAAATATGAATTTTTTTTCAAATTTAATTGCATATTTGTATGATTATAGCACCATTCTCTTTATAAAAGTTCGATCTTCTTTAAGCTATACAGGACCAGCCCGTACGTTGTTGTAATTTTTTTACTAATAGCAGACCGCTATTTATTTTATTTTGATTTTGATTTTAATTTTACATTGCTCAGGAGTTGCAATTGCTTTTAACATCCTAATATGTTTTTCAGCGGACGCGTCGGGAAAAAGGAACAGAGCAGTGAAGCTCCAAAAAAGATTTATTTGGAAATATTAATGTTCTTTTATAACATTTTTTTCGCATTAAACAAGAGCTTCAATGGTCTGTGTCGGCGAAATGCGTAATGGTATTTAACCTAGTTCGACACTCGGTTTTTTCCCCCTTGAAAAGCCAATTGAGGGTACGACGAGTGGGTTAATTTACCATTTCCGCTATGTAATTATTGTATTTTTGTTTTGTTGCAATTTATGTTTTCATTTTAATTTTTACATTTTATGTATTGGCATTTTTTCAGTCTATATTTTTTATATGTATTTACTTTTCATGTATATTTTTTTTCCGTCAATCTATTTTTCATGTGAGTTAACTTTTCACATATCACAATGGTCAGATTAATTTTATCGTGCATTAGCATGTCTTCCAGCATTAATTTTGGCAGTTTTTTCGCGTGTTTCCAGTTTTTCCAAACAAATTTCTTCTTAGTTTATATTTTAGTAATACAGCGTTAAAATATTTCGTGGAGCTACGGCTCATGGTAACTTTTTAGCAAGATCGCTACAATGTTTCTACCTACTACTATTATATATATATGTATATATATATATATGAATGCTTAACTCCTAGGTTTCTTTATTTTAAATCAGAAAAATCATACCTCCACATTTTCTTGTGACTTTTTGGCTCCTATCACTTTTCCCTGGAAGTACAAATATACTTTTATTAAGTGTTACTTTCTGTATGGAACAATAGTATAACTAATGATAATTCATTATTAAGAGATCTAACTTATCATTAGATGAAATACTAATGGTCTAATAATTATAAACATTTTGACCTAAAGCTAACAACTTTTGATTATGTAAAACATGTTTTTTAATGGTATAGGAAAGAAAATCTTACTTACACCTAACCATGCTTTCCTGTTAAAATCTCCTTCTATATCCAATAGTTCATCCAAATCTATTTCTACTTCATATGTTTGTGAATCTTCATCCTGATATCAAAGGGAAGTTTTATTAATTAGTAGCATTAAATAAAATTAGTTTACTTCGGTGTATAATTTAAAAGAAATTAGGCATATCTGCCATTTTCACAAAGAAATAAGAGAAAAAACGTAGCATTAAAACAGAAAGAAACAGTAATATTACCTGCTATCTGTGAAAATTTCTGTAATGTTACTGTTAAAGGAATTAATTTCCTTTGCATATGAAAACATTCTATTTCCAAAAGACTACTATTAGACAATAAATATGATACAAAGAAGCCGGTACTTTTTCGTTTTGCAGGCGCAGGCGATAAAGTCACCAATAATGGTACAACTGATGCCAAAAGGTATATCCTCGCTGGTAACCTTTTATGCCTCATTTTCAAAACAAGTTGCAGCCATTTCTTACCACATTGATTATTTCTTTCAATACTGGCATACAATTACATAGAATGTTTACCAGATAGTTCCATTTTTATGCCCTAAGGTCATTTGCAGTAATTAAGTCAATTAGGATGCAATCACATCACTCACCCGAAAATAGTATAGAAAAGGCAAAGTCAAGGGTTAAATTCACCAATTCTGATGAGAATGCATTAGCGAAGTTAAGCACTGTGGTTTTACATTATTTCTGAGTAAGCTATTCGTACGAATTGAAATAATTCTTGCATTTAAACTTGTATTCCAAATTAAGATTTAACTCGAAATTAATGTAGATAATTACTGAGAGAATTAGATTTTCGCAGTGCAGTGTATGTGAGATGAGATCACTTGGGATCACGTGATAAGAACCGGCGAATCAGGATGTTGAACCATGAAAGCATAGTAAATTCTTAATTTAATGTCTTTTTACAAATTTATTGTCATTATTTATTGGCTTTTTACAATATTTTGAGCAATATTAAAATGTTTATGCCTTTAAAAGAAAAAATCTTGGAACTAACATTTGTTAACATATTTTATGTGTATACTGTATGTTGCCGGCAATAAAGTCTGCTTGGCGAGATTTGCGCCTGCGAAATGGAAAAGTACCAAGAAGCCATATCAGTGACATTATTTATGGTAGGGTCATTAAGAGAATAAAGGCTGACTGTAGTCATTTCACCAAACATCATGTATAGGCTTTGGAGATAGCTCCATGCTGATGAAGATATTTAATGGCAATTATGGTTAAGATTGCCTGTTTGTCTTAATTATGGCTATGTGCACAATAAGATTTGTGTATAACTATTAAGTGAATTATGCTATTCAACCGAGACAAGAAAATACATTTGTTGAGGGACTTGTCAACAGAATTAGGAATCACTGTATGTAGTCAGTTTATCATTACTACATCAATTCAGCCTACTTGCAAACAAGCTTCACTGTACGAATTTCTTTAACTTAAGCACATGCACACACACTATGCAGCATGTTGTATGAACATTTTTCTTAATTATTAAATGGGGTGACATACTTTTTACTGATGACTTCCTTTTCAGCTTAAACTATAGGAACAAGTGCATGTACATTTGACAAGCTGTAGGAACATATTACAATAGCATGTTCCTACCACTCAAGAAATACTTATGGAAATGAAAGAACCCTTGTTTCATGTAAAATCATCTAATTCATGTAAACCTTTCTGCCTGGCCAGCCATACTGTAACAGCAGATTAAGACAGTCATCTTGCATATGTTATGCCTGCCTACCTACCTTCATCCATCAATTTTCCGTCACAATTAACACTGAATGCATAGAAACAAATTATTTCTATTATTCTTCATTATGTGAAAATTCTCCTAACGTCCAAAGTCTTACCTGCTCTGTCTAGAAGAGTTTGTCAATTAAACTAGTCAGTACCTTTTAATTTTTTCATTTTATTTCATGTCTTCTGATTCATTATAGTTAAATGTGATATCAGAGGAAATATAGAATCATTTGTTAGTCAGACAACTGAATTCAAAAGGCCTTGATAGCAGATACAATGCAGATTGTTGTGGTTTTTTAAGTGGCTTTAAATTTCATTAATAGAGATGCCTTAATATTATTAATTCAAAAGAAAATTATTATGTACTGTTAGATAAAGACTGAAACTTTTACTTGGGTTTAACCATTCAAGATAAATTTTTAAGCAGTATCTTGCAAGCATCTGTTGTATATCACTGGTTCATTCAAGATTTTTGTGTAGAAGAAATAGACAGAATTTAATTGTTTGTACTATACTGCCCCCATATCTGTGTATTCAATATATACAGTTCAGTATAACAGAAAAAAAAGGGGGGGATTGCAGGAAGGTTCAAAATGAAACTGAAGTGACAACAGTCTGTAATATAGCCAAAATACAGCAGCTCAAAACATCCACTCATTTTAGGTTGATGATACAGAAATAATTATGGAATATGCATTTCCATATTACAATCCCTCAAGCTCTAAGCTTACATTCCCAATTTGATGTTTATAAATATATTAATAGGATGGTTATCAGTTTCCAGAAAATATTTGTCTTTTTAAAATTTCTTTTATGCTTGCCTTTTAGCATTCATCCTATTCTCATTATTAACATGCTATTTAACTCCTGTTAAAGTTCTTATTTAACTCAATAAGAGTTTCAGAATTAATAATAGCAATGTTGTAAAAGCTTGAAAAGTACTAGTTTGCTGTAGAGCTAGGAAATTAATTCTTTCTTCTGCAGTCTTTTGAAACAGTATATTCTTGATTAGAGAGATTACCTCCTTGGAAAAGCAGAATAAAAACTATAGTAATAAAATTATTTTAACATAAAAGTTAGTATCAGTTAAAGATATTTTAGAAAAAACTTTTAAAAAACTAATATTGTTAATTTTATATGGATTAAATTAATTTTTACATGGAATCAACAATAATAATAATACCATAATTATTATTGATTCCATGTAAAAGGCTGACTTTTCAACAGTGGCCTAGCTAGGGTGGGACAGGGACAGATGTCCCCATGGGTGGCAAACTGATGTTACAAAATTTTAGAATGAAATGCTTTTCATTCTTGGAACCCAGAAAGGGACGAAATATCCCCAGGCGCTGAAAACCCTAGCTACGCCTCTGCTTTTCAAGGGGTATTATTTATTCAAAATACAAAAACACCAACAATTAAGGGTATCTGATTGTGTTTTGTATTGCTTGTCTGCTTGAGGGTAAAATTCATTTTAATATAATCTAATGTAATATTTCAACTTAATTAAGTTTAATTTTACTTTCAAAAATGAGAAAAATACCCCGACATGATCCTATTCCTAAGAAGAAAAAAAAAAAAAAAAAAGGATTGCAAAATATTGGATAATAGCAGGGTAAAATATGCCCAAACTAAAAATTAAATATGAAATTTACATCTTTCACTGCATCGTCATCAGGGGGTTGGTGCAATGAGAAAAGTAAATTAGTAAAACAGCCTGTTTTTGAAATGAAAAAGACACAAAGTTTATGTATATCTATATAACACGTAATGTTCGAAAAATAAACCCCATAAACGTTTTGCGAAAATCTGAACTAATAATGATTTGCGACTTTCAAACTTTATTTTCTCTTACCGTAATGTTCGAAAAGTAAACAGAAAATTTCCCTTTTCCTCCTTTCAGGAAAATTCCCTGTGTGGGTTGCAACAATTATCAGGGTTACCATATTCTGGCGCACGTACGCTCACTTCCGATGTAAACAAATCCCGCAATTTTGCCAAGTGCCGGTTATGGAAACATCCCCACATCTCTTGCTCATTTCTCGCAGATTAAGTTAAAATGTTAGAATCCCTTACCTTCCAAAGTATGAAAAAGCGTATACATTGTATTCTCTCAAGAATGCTTTATTGCTATTTTGTTTGATATTAAAAATAGTATACTTGTATATAATTTATCAATTGAAATTACAGTATTTATATATGTTACATGAATACCTATTTTATGTAGTGCTTGTTATTATCTGTAGATATGGGGGACTCTGTTGTAGTTCTAGTGTTCAGTGACATATATTTTTTTTAGTGTCAAAGGTAATTTTAATGCTTAAAATGTGTGTACACCAAAGACATGAGGGTTTTAGAGATTACAGATATAAATTTTTTGTAAATTCAAGTTAAGTATACAACAATTTGGTTCTTGTCGACTTCAGAAACAGTTTCTGTATATAGCCATATGATACCAATATGTCACTTACAACAAAATATCTTCCACATACAGCAACCATCCAGTCTAGCAGCTGTGTTGTATTAATCTTTCTTCCATTTTGTTTATTATAACATTATATTTTCAACACTGACTTTTATTCAAAATTTAGTTTTTATTTTTAATGTCCAGCTATTAATTTAGTTAAGGAAGTTGCCAGAGACAGATAAAAAGTTTGTAGTGATCAAGCATATAAATTTGGATTTTAAAGTATATCCAATCTAATGAGCATTACATGTAACAAACCATAATACATTCAGTGATTTTGTAGGTCTTATAATTGATACAGGTAACCTGTCCATCAAACTAAAGCAGCAGTTCTAAATGCCCAAGTGTTCAAAGGTGTGACAAGGAAGGAGTTACAGCTAAATATAATCAGTACATAAAACATAGTAGCTATCCATACAATAAACTCTAAATGTTGTCAAAGGCAATCTTCCAGTTAAATAATTTCATCTGATAATTTACAGTAAATATCATTGGTAAAAGTCCACAATTGGGTGCCCCTTGCTTTTTTGCCAATTCCTTTTTTAAGCCAAGAATGGTGCCAGGAAGGCAAAATTTCAAGTTGGCCGCTATACAAAATAAGAATTGCACAAACTCGTCCATGTACACATCAATCTGTTTTCATTTCAAAAATGGGGAAGCTAAAACAATTTAATTTACAAACAATAACAAAATTTAGAACTATCATGGTATCCAGAAATAGGGTTTCATCGTCAAAACTGAATAAAATTTGTCGCTAATCGAAGGAGCACCCAGTTCTACACTACAGCCACATCATTTTCTGTTTTTTGTTTTGTTTTTTTTAAATTATAATCTCACAGTCTAACCAAATGCAATAAAGAAATTATGCATAGCCATTTCCTTATGAACATACATACACTTTAAATGCAAAACTTAAGGCTAATAATTGAGTGATATTATAAGTTTCAAATAGTCTTATTTCTGTATCTGCTTAATAGAACAAAATTCTAAACAACATCTCAACAATGTATACTTATACTGTCCAGCTTGAGCAAGAGCGGCACCATTCAAGATGACACAGCTTATGATGGAATGTCAATGACAAGTGTGTTAATGGACATCAAGATCTAAACCCATCACCTAATCTTTTGCAAACTGTATCCTTGGATATCACAGGATCCCTACAAGTTGACAAATCGATGATGGCGTAAATTTTGGGGCAGATGTGGTAGCTCTTCTGACTACACAATCTTTCCAAGCCACTGGTTCCAACAATGAAGCAATATGATGACCATATTGCTTCATTAAAACAGGCTGGCCGATCCACCTGTTTGACCAACTGGCCTTCTCTAGCCCTATGATGCAACCCTTCTCAAAGTCTACCAACTGTTCGTTATACCATCAAGTATGTCCTACAGGCACCTTTCGTTACAATGTCATGTATCCAAGGCGTCAGCATATGATTGCAAACACTCATCACTTGCCACACCTGCCCTTTTGCATTCTACCAGCTGTGCATTTTAGATGCATGTTGTATTACTCAACAATGCTAAATGGTGCTGCAAGTTTAATATTTACACAACTCGTCAAACCACATTTGCATGCCACGTTTCAAAGTTGCGGCTCAATTTTTTCTTGGTGGATATATTACCAATCATTACTGCAATTATGTACTGTTCAGTTACATCTCAAACACTACAGTTAAAATATATAAACAAATTTTGATTGGAATTTTGCAACGTGAAAGGACAAATTCTAATTACAAAACCAGTCATTTGTATCTGACGCCCAAAGGGAAATCACACAAATAAAGAATTCATGAATGAATTTAGATCATTACACAAATTTGTACTGCACCCAACATCAAATCTCGGGAGAATATTCTTAATTTCAGAAAGAATGAACTGCATTTAAACGTATAAAATTCTGCTAAAAATGAGAACTACATTTCAGAAGCAAAACGAATATCATTCAAGGAAAATAAAGTAATCAAACCAACAAACTTTTAATATAACTTTCTTATACATAAGGTAGATGTCCGAACATTTCATTGAAATTTCTTTCAAGGTTATTGCATTTTTTTGAAAAGCTGTATGTTAACAATATAAGTTTCTACTAATCATGTATAATTTATCTACTTCGATGTTCAATAAAGGTCCGGTTGCTGATAACGAGTTTCCCTTAATTCATTTTTGACATGTCTTTGGAGTAATTCCATCACTTCATTTTTAAATTCTTTCGGAGTTTCTTTAATGCCTGTAGCCCAGTAATACAGATCCCAATCATTGGAAGGCAAGTTTATAAGTTGATCATACATTTTCAGCTGCTGATCACTGAATTTACTTAAATATTTTGCCGCAAATGTACTAAGAATTAAGCCATTTTCCAACATTCCGCGTTTACGACTCTGATACAACAGCCTTGCTCTCATATCAGTTATGCTTTCATTTACTCGCACTATGTAAGGGTTAGGGCCGTTTTCAGACATAGATATTGTAGAATACATTCGAGACGTATATGATGTGCATGGTGTACGAGAAGCTGAAGTACTTGTAATACGAAATATTCTTGAAATGTTATTTACGAACAAACGCAACATTTTGAAAAACTGATTCACACAGCTTCAATGTTTTGTAATTACAGATAAAAGTTGAGTAACATACGTCCTGAACCATAAAGTTTTATTTTCTTGTGTAAGGAAAATAAAATATTACATCTGAAAAGCCTTCTCCAATCTTCACTTTTCTTCTACACGTAATTTTAATTTTATGAGTAACGTTTTATAACAACAAAAAATTTTATCCGTACCCCCCCACACGTACTCACTTGCTCAGCTGTCTTGTCACCGCCAAGTAGAATAATACCATGAGAAGTAAATCAAAATTGAAGAATTTTTGTAAGCCTTACTTTAGCAGTGTTTCTCCCATATATAAAGATATATATTTCCCATATATGAAAAATAAAAAGCATACGTTGAAAAATATTCTTTAAATGTTTTGGATTTACTATGTAATGAGTGATATTGATATTAATCACATGGTGTTGTAGGCTTATTATAGATTAAGTATTTTCCCATTGTGTTAGTAATTTAGCCCTAAGGCGTTGACAATTTTTTAGAATCACGCTAATTATCGTGCTGATGTGGCGAGAGCAAAACTGCCGTGTGGGCCTGTACAATACCGACTCTGTAGTAGAGTCGGTTTGGGTCTGTAGTACTTGTGGCGCCATCTGAGAAGTGCTAGTAACGTGAACACCATTTTGAAAAACAATGAAGGTGCAGTTAAAAATGATGATGAGTAAACTTACTTTTACTCCAGTCCACAAAGACCATTTTTCTTGTGAAGTGGCTACTGATTTCAGCAGAGTCACTAAGTTGTGTGTTCACCAGTTTGATTTGGTGTGTATAGTTCGTGGTCTTTTAACAATATTCTGAATGGTTGGGTTGTAGTGTGTTGTTTTTGACAGATATTTAAATTCAGAGTTCATCATTAAAAAAAAAATATGAGAACACGTGAGCAGGTAGTCATGAATTTTCATGATTTTTAATTCTTTATGAATTTATGATAACACGTCGAACAATTATTAATTTAGAAGTCAAACAACAAAAATCACTGTACCTTATCTCGTTCATTTGTGCTTTGGCAGCTGTGGATGTTGGTTCTGTAAAACCATCGGAACTATTTCTGTTAACAATTTGCAAATAAAACGCTGATTTTTGTTGTTTGACTTCTAAATCTTTATTAATTTGTTTATTACTAACTGAAGCGCATTATTATTCGAAGAATTATTTTGGAAAACACCCATATTTTTCCACCTGGTCTTATCTACAGTGGTCTAGACCGGCGTTGTATACGTTAGTACTGGTCTAATAAGCGAAAGATAAGAGTTTTCGTTTCACCACACAGCTAAGTTTAGATTTTTATCGAATTAAGGGTCATGAGAGATGGATTTGCTTTCTTTATGGCATGGTTGACATGTTCTTTGAAAACAAGTTTTTGATCAAAGTAACTCCAATGCATTGTAAAAGAGAACTTCAGCTTTATTAATAGTGATATGTTTATAAACAGGAAATACTTTAAGCATCTGAAAAGGAGGAAGTTGCTTTTAGAAAAGTTGATTTTTTAAGTCTCCACAAGCTACATCAGTGAGTTACAATGTTTACTGCCATTTTAAGTAAGTGCGAAACTTTTTGTGGATTTATTGATTTGGTAAGAATCACCCTGTCATCTGCGTATTTTGCAATTTTTGAGTTGAGTAGTTGCAGCGGGTCATTTATACAAATGTTGAACAGTGTGGTAGAAGATCCAAGAATTGACCCCTGGGGCACACTTGCATTCATCCTCTTTCTATTTCAGAGACTATTTCCAGTACAACTCTGAAATGTTCTGTTTTTAAAATATGAGGAAATGATATTTATGAAATTAATAGATCAATTCCTTTTAGTTTTGTAACGAGACGGACATGCCATATGCGGTCAAATGCCCACTAAGTGAAGAATCCATGCCGCTGCAGAGATCATTTGAATGAAGGAAACAACTATATATACTTAGTGACGTTAACAACTTGATGAATAGTGCAATGTCCTCTTCGGAAACCGTACTATGTCTCGTTGAGTGTATGTGTTCCCTCAAGGTACCAAATAAGGCAAGTATGTAGTATCTTCTCATATACGTTGCCCATGTTTATAAGTAGGCTAACTGATCTGTAACTCGAGGTCTCTTTCAGGTGCTTTCTTGGTTTCAGGAAATTACGATGGCATGTGCCCAGTCATTAAGGAAATAACTGAGTTGCGGGTTTGCATTAATAACATAGGTGAGAAGAATTAAATACTTTCATCGAAGTTCCTTAAGAGCAAGATTACTGATAAGGTCATACCCCTGTTCTTTTTTCAGATTAAAACTTTTAAGGATGTCTTTGATTTCATTGGGAGATGTGGACAAGGAATAGCTACAGCTTTTCATGTAAGTTTTCGTGGAAGCTTTTATTCTCTTTTCTCATGTTAAACAAAGTAATCATAGTAGAACATTTTTATTGGTAAGATCAAGTGCAAAATACTTAAGTGAATGGTGTAGAAAAATTTAATTAAAACATTTTTAAAGTTATCATTTTAGTGTCAGTTTTAACAGTATTGTAAATTTACGAAGATATTTGAATGCATTTGGTTGTATTATTTTTACGCGCTGTTATAATATTTTTATTGCTTTATTTATTTATTTGTTGTGTCAGAGTTCATAAATCTAGGGTTTATTTTTTATGTATATTTAATTTTGTGTCACATGCTTTATATTTAAGTTTTTATTTCTTGCATAGAATTCTGCATCTTACAATTCTGAATCCAATAACATTTAAATGTTATGTTAACTAACTCAACTAGAATCCAGGATATAGGCAGAAATCCTTCTGATGGGTTTTAGCGACAGACAGTTTTTGCGGCTAAGTTGACCATTTTCGGAAAGTTTGGGAAAAACACATTTTCAAAGCTCTAGATGGAATTTTTCCCGAAGCTTCTAGAAAGCCTGGCAACACCATATAAATAAGCTTTGACAGCCAACGATCAGTCAGTTGTGTTTGGCAGTTCTGAGTGGCTTTACAATGAATGCGGTTCAAAGAGAATTTGCTGAACTGGGTTTTACAGTTTACTTTGCGAGTTATGGCCCTTAATTTATATTTTTTCTCGTATGTTCAGGAGGATTTACTGAATACATATATTCTCCTTGAATTATTCACAAATATTTATTTTGCTATATATTATTATTAATTGCAATAAATTGTCAGTTTCTTTCTGATCATCTAGAGCGATTATTTTAACAGATTGTGCGCAACGTTCGTAACAATTGGAAATGGAAGTTTCCACCACAACGGATTTAATTTTTAAGATTATAAATACGAATTGTCGAAAGTTTAGCCGTTAAGATATCTGAATTGTTCTTTTATTCACACTAACATTGGTATAAATAAAATATTATTCACTCAATTCTGTTTTTAACTCGATAGACAGCCCTTTCCGAAAAAAAAGTATTCAGAAAATTATAAAATTCATATAAAAATTAGAAGATTGGTTATAGGCATGAAAATTATTAGTTCAAAAAAGTCTTATGAAAGTATTTCATTCAACTTTGTCGTTTAAACCATGACAACCCCTCCCCTCAATTTTTTAAACCTGAAAAGGCAAATGAATGTATACCTAAAATAAATTGTCCTTTATATAGAAAATAATATGTTACTAATTCAAGCTGTGCAAAATAATCTGAGTTATGTTTATTAATTATACGTTATTTATTGTCACTCTATCCCGCTTCGTTCTAAATGAATAAGTTTTTGTGGACACTATGCATGTGCACTTTTCCTGCCATACTTCCCATTCATAATTGCTTTAGTTTGCAAAATACGGTTAAGCAACTAAATTAAATAGGGCTTTTATAAATATAAATAAAAAGATATTCTTATTGATTTAAAAAAATAAAAAAGACGAAAAACATTTTGCAGTTTTCATTTGGAAAACTTAAATGTTCAATATGTGTGTTTTTGAAGTCAAAATTGCTTCAAAAAATATGAAGTGACATCTTTATGCTATGAATAAATATAAATTATAAGAAATTTGAGCAGAAATATTTACTAAAACTTAAATTTAGATGAAAATCTTTAAAAAGAAGCCATTTGAACCTCTCTACATATTACGTTCTTCTTCTGCAGCTTTTATACTGAAAGGTACACTGCACAAAAAAAAGGGGGGGGGACAGTTCTATAGCTCTACTGGGCCGATTGACGAAACTTAACTTTCGTTTTTCATGTCTCGAAAGCGCGACTTCGGATATGTATTAGATTTATATATAGCTTCGTTCTAATATCCGCATTTTGACATAAAATCGGACTTTTTCTGATATGACTAGCCAATGTTTTTTTCATATATCAATTGTAGGACTCAAATTATGCCAAACTACGAAGTTTTGTAAAAATCGCACGAGTATTTTTTAAAAAAATTAGCTCTCAAAATTTTAGCTCCTCAATGTTAATTGAATTTGATATACTATTTTTATATCCAATACAATTTATATTAATATCTCTTTTTAAATTAAACTTACTTGATTCCTTCTTCCAGAATTAAAAATGTATTCTTGATCTAAATATAATTCGCCCATTTTTTATGATTTATTTTTCAAATTTGTATTTTTAAATATTTTTTATAAATTTTTCGAAAAAATTTTTGTTTTATAACCTATCAAGTTTTTAACATCATCTTAAAGTAGATGTATTTCTAGGCACACCTGCAAAAAATTAAAGTTTTTATTCAAAATTTCGTACGATATACGTGAATTTACATATTGGGGTGTTTGGAAATTTGGCATATTCGTTACAAGTGATAATAATTCCAAATGTGGTTTACACATTTTATTAAAATTACTTGAAAGTAATGAACGTGATCCTTTTTCCGCTCGTGTAGAATGAAAAAAAGGAAAAGAAAATAGATTGCTATAAATTAAGAAGTTCGCCAAAGGAATTATTATTGGCGAAAGCTGAAAAAAATGCTCCAAGATAAATTTTTTAATTTTTCTGTAAATTTCGCACTAAATTTTACAAAATTTAATATTGTGGCATAACTTGAGTCGCAGAATCAAAATATAGGGAAAAAA